GAGTTGGGTAGCTATATAAGGAGGCAAGGCCTTGGTATGGCCTCCATTACTCATTGGGTCTTTGTTCCTAGTGAGAGGTTGAGGTGCTCCGAGGGATTTTTTCCCCCTGATGAKTCTACGAGCGGCGTGGACGAAACGCGTCGGGGAATTGCCGCGTTATTTCTGTATTGATCTTCTTGGAGTCTTGTGCTTTTGCTGGAACTGGTGTTCGACCTTTTTGCGTGCGTAACAAAGTGCTTGTATTGGTGTATCTCTCCTCTGTTCTCATGCGTGGACAGTCTTGYCGGGCTGTTTTCTTTTCAGAATTCCGTGACAACCTACAGTGCGGTTAAACACTGGGTGATGGCCATGTCTTTGGGTTACTARTGTTTTGTTAGAGATCTCGATATGGAGCGGGTGCTTGTTAAATGTGCGCTTTGGTTCCCTGAGGTTGATATTCAGGTAAGGATTGTCGTCACTCTTGATGACGAATCGAACCCTATTAGGCTTTTGGCACGTGTAGAGTAGGCCTGTTCTTTTTTTCCTTTTCTCGAGCTTCTCAGTGTTTGGTCTAGGTATGCACTGCCTTTATGTTAGACTTACTTTTGCTTGTAGCCTGCTGCGTTTGGGGGCGGGCGGGCGGGCACTCCAGGGTGCTGGAATATTGCTCCGGTTGTGTAGTGCTTTCCAATTGTCCGCAGCACCTGGCGTTGGGTGCAAAATACTTTTGGATCGGAGGTTTTCTTTGCGGGATTTTGAATGTGCTTGTTATACGAAGAATGGYTGCACCGGGTAACAAGTGTTTTAACTGCGGCGGTGAAGGGCACYTCGCCAGAGAATGCCCCACCATCGGCAACAGACGGGGGGAGGAGGAGTTGCTASTTCCCCGGCACCAACATCCTCGAGGTTTTGGACACCAAGGCGCCCGCAGGAGGATTCGGAGGAAAAMGATTTCTTGAGGCAGCTCATCCAAGWSAAAAGGGAGGAGAAGAATCGTAGGCAGGAGTTGGAAGACAAGCGGAAAATGGACGAGTAGATCCGGATGGAGATTGAAYGRAATTCGGAGGCTATGGAGGCTCGTGTGTTGTCGAAGATTGGGCGGCAGTACCTCGTCAATCGTTAAGAAGCAAGACGGGAGGAGTTGCGTTCCCCTGCTCACCGCCCCGCTTTCACTCCGATCAGGRAACGGGACGTTGTTGATATTGATGATCATGGGATTAAAGACATTGAAGACGAGATCGCTAAACTTTATGAGGTGCGTGAGAGGAAGCGGAGGGGCGAGGAAGCAGTCTTGGAGCACAGAAGGCCTTTTCGACAGCCGCTCTTTCAGAAGGAGGACGTTCCAGTG